CCGTGCGTGGGTAGCGTGTCATTCCGCTTTTCTCGGTCTGGCGCTACAAGCTAGTATGATCCCGCGCAATAAGATAGAAAGAAGAGCGCGGGTTTCGTTCACATCTTAGTTGTACTCATGCGCCGTTCACGCTGTTCACGCTTATAAAAATTACAACTAATATGCTCTCTTCACGATATTATATTATTAGTATTATTGCGCACAGTAATAAAGAAAGTGCGCGTATTTCGTTCTTGTTTCGTTCACAAGTAGTTCACGCGGATCACGCATTGCGTTCGTTTCACTCTCTTCATTTGTATCCTTGTTCACTTTGTTCTCTACACCTTAATAATATTCCCCGGGCACACAGTAATAGTAATAATATCGCCCGGGAGTGAATACAATAAACTTAATACTAAATTAGTACTACTTTCATCCTATTCTCTGGGTGTTTCGTTCATATTATTGTTTCGTTTCACGCGGTCACTCGCTACTTTCGCTCTTACGCAAATGAGCAAACTGCAACTATTGCATCGCCTGAAGCAGGCCGGTATAGAGCCTTATGTGACCCAAGTCATGACAGGAAGTAGCATCAAGATACATCAAGTACCCCCTCCGCAGCAGCCTGAACAACCTTGCTGTGCTGCTCAAGGAGGAGGGGTGTTCGGGAGAAGCGGAGCCGCTGTACCGCGAGGCCTTGCGTGGCCGCAGGAGCCCCAGAGGTAGCTCTGGTTTCCTTGTTGTGGCGTTTCACCAGAGCGATTCAGTTTGGCAGAGATGCTCATGTTTGAAGACGATACAAAAGAGTGGTCGTGGCAAATCCTGAAAAACATGCGTACTTTTGCACAAGATCTGGCGAGGTTGAGGTTGCATTAAGCTGGGTTAGGTCAAGGTGCAGGAATAGCGGTCTTGGTTGCAGGGTCGTAGGTCGCTTGTGCCTTTTGTTTTTCGGTCGCTTGTGCCTTTATTTTTTTTTGTGGCTCCAGGGCCACAAAAGGGGGTCTCGTCATTTTTGGACTGATGGGGTTGTAAAATGCGAGACTCTCGTCTCTTTTGGAATTATGAGTTCATCGAAACGTGAAACTCTCGTCTCTTTTGAACATGTGGGGTTCGATTGCGAAGCTCTTGTTGTTTCTGGACGTCCGGGGTCGCGCGAAGTGCGGACTCTTGTCGCTTTTATTCGCTTTTGGACCTGTGAGGCTGCGAAACACGAGACTCTTGTCGCTTTTTGAGCTGCGATATCTGGGGTCGCGAAACGCGAAACATCTTGTCGTTTTTTGGCTTCTGTGATTCCCGAATGCGAGACTGTCGTCGCCTTTTGACTTGTCGCGTGATGAGAAACTCTCGTTGAAATGTGAGACCCTCGTTGCTCTTTGACCTCTGGGGATGCGCGTGCGAATCGCTCGTCGCTCTTGAACTTCGATCCGTGCTCCCGACATGCTTTTGGACTGTCGTCGCCTCTGGACCTCTGGGGACTCAGGAGCGATTGTGCCCTTGAAATTCGCTCCGACTCAAAAGTCCACAATGACACGAAGCAAAGTCACCTGATCTGGCCGAGGCCGCTCCAAGCTGGGCGACACTCATCCGGACACGCTGAGCAGCATCTATAGCCTGGCCGCCTTGCTGAAGCAGATGGGCCAACTGGACGAGGCAGAGCAGCTCTTTCGCGAGGAGCTCCAAGGTTGCCCCTTGCCATCATTCAGAGAGACCTAAGACCATCTAAGACCTACTATGACCTACTGTATGGGATCACAGTGGCGCCCCCACAGCCCACCCTGGCTGCTTGGCTCGTTACTCTGATTTGGTGATGCTGTGAAGGTCGCGTGAATCATGGAGCCCAGCACGACGACACCTTGGCCTCTTTTGAAAACTTGGCGGATTTTCTCAAGGACTCGCTGCCGCGCTGCTAGGAACGGAACTAGCGATGCTAGAGAAATTTTGCAGCAGTTTTCATGTCGTTGTTTGATCGTGAAGATGGGCGAGCGGCGCGACGTGTTTTGTGCCCATGCCAGAACCATGCCATAAAGCCCGGAGGCCTTCAGAAATTTAGAGCCTCAAGCGGAACCAAGCGGAGTCACATCAGGGCAATGCGGAAGGGGGTAATAGTTCAGCGCCCCCCCAAATTCAATTCGTAGAAGCCCCCCTCCCTGCGGCTAAGTTCGTAGAAGACGTGGGGTTTGCCCCGCAGCCCGACCTTTACCCCAAACTGTTTGCCTGTGCATGCAGAGGACACAAGTTTAGAAAACGAACGAGTTCCACAACACGATGGCTAATCAACCCTGGTGCTGAGCCTAAGAATGTTGGCCACCCCGCGTGAATAACGATGAATAACGTGTCATTCCCCTTTTCTCGGACTGGTGCTACAAGCACTGCTCTTGGTGCAATATGTCCTGTTCCCAAAGTCCCAGAGCCCTGAACGACGCTTGAATGAGCAAACTGCAAAGGGCCTTCGGGACCAGGACGTCCAGGACAAAGCCCAAGTCATGACTGGAAGGAACATCAAGATACAAAGAACAAAGAAGCAACCCAACCCACCAAAGCAGCCACAAACAACCAACCAGCAAACAAGAAGAGGGCGGCGACACTACTAAGAAAGACCCCACGCGCTCAGTACCCAAGCTCGTCCATGTCGTCCCAGGGCAGAGCCATAGCAGCACATTTCTAGTGGCTGGACAGCTTCCCACATCTGCCATATCTTTCCCTACACTGCCGGAGATCCGCAGGACCGTGGTGACCTGGAGGGGCTTGCAAAGCTGAAGGAGGACAGGCGCCAAAACAGCTTCCATAGCAATTTCCAAGCAACTTCATATGTCTCAAAGCGCAGGAAGTTGAAGGATTGGTGTTGTTGGGAGTTGGCCCTGCGATATACGAAGCTTGCATTCTGCATACACTGCTTATAACTCTTACATGAATGTCCAGTTTTTCCCGGCGTGCACTACATACAGGGTTTTCTCAGAATCTGGCTCCCACAGGCTCGTCTTTGCCATGTAAGAGCACAGCTAGGACGGTTAGAACCGCTAGAACCCAGACTTCCCAGAGCCCTCAAACCTTAAAGCATCCTGGAACCTCCTAAATCTAAAAATCCTCAAGCCCCTCGCGGCCCCTCCCGGCCCCTCCCGGCCCCTCCCTGGACCCCGAAGCTTCGGAAGCCTTGGAGCCCTGGGAGGAGTTTCCGCATTTCGCCCAGGACGGGAGGGATGGGAGGGAGGGAGGGCGGAGCGGGCAGCTTGGAGAGATTGGGGCCACCCTGCGCGCTTGGGTCGTAGCCGCGGGGGACAGCAGGAATAGAGGCAATTCCGAAGGTGGAGCGAGGCTCAGGCCTTCAAAGGGCCTCTTGTGGTGGTTCGAGGATGGGAGTGGAATGGTGGCATGAGGCATGCTTGTGTAGATGTAGGTATAGGTGCGTTCGCTGTGTTTTTCGATTGTGCATTGTCAAGGTACGTCAAGGTGTATTCAGGCTGAGCAATCTGGCAGAATCTAGCAATCTAGCAAGTGATGGGTAATTTCATCGCCAGAGCCCCACGCTGCGCCCTGATGTCAGGACGAAGCTGAGACTGGGCAGGAGGAGGAGGCAACGAAAGTCGGTGTGAAGGGGTCACACCACCTGCAAGAAAAAGTCACATCGTCTACCACAACAAAGAATTAAAGCCCCCAAATCCGAAGACTGCAGAGGCGCCGGGGCCGTGATTTGCCACATCACGCCATCTGGCGCCATCCTTCTCCGTGCCCTTTTTTGGGGTGCAGGAGCTAATGGCTGTTTTTGGGGGGTTTCGGGGTTTTGGGACGGAAGAGGGGACCGCTGGAGAGATCTGAGGATTGGCCACGTTCCGAAGCTATAAAGAAGGCCCCATTGAGAATTTCTGCAAGCTGGCCAAACAGTATGAAACGGTTCTCTCCATTGAAGAGAGTTGGAAGATTTTGCACATAGAGATTCAGCTCCGCCAAAACCTCATCCGAATTGCGTAGGCCGCCCTTCCCTGTCAAAAAGCCATTAGTTGAGTCTGCCCCTGTTCTCCTCGTGATAACGATACAATCCCTGTGAGGAGTTTCGCACGCAAGGCGAGCGGGTCAGTGGCTTGGCAGTCGCATGGCATCACGTTTCCATCGAATTCCCTACATCCTCAGCCGCCCGAGGCCCTACATGAAATGAAGGGCCTTCGGGTACTCCAGTTGCAGTCTCATTTAGAGGTGGTTGCCCCCCAAACCCTTCCCACGCGTCAGACCCGAACTGGATGTTACAAAGCCCATGCAAGAAAGATTCTGCAACTAAGCCTGCTTACAATGTTGCAACGCTTCTCTGCCTCGTCGTATTTTTTCTATTGTTTTTCTTATTCATATTCTTCTCGTTGTTGCTGTTGTCAAGAATATGTCATGTTCAAACTCTGGATCGTCGGTATTCGCACTTCTGCCCAGCCCTGGGGCCCCCGCCCTGCAGCCCTCCGCCCTGCGGCCCCGCCCCGTGCGACCCCAATCCCAGCCCTAAGGGGCTTGGATCTGCTTGGCTCAGGTCACATTTGTTGCCGATGAACCGGGGGGGAGGGGGGGGGGTGGGCCAGCCCGTGCCCAGCACGAGGCTTTTAGATGTTCGCGAGTTTGTTGCGTTGTTCTATTTCAGATTCGAGCCCTGCGATGGTGAGACGGGTGTATCGGGCGTTGCTCCCCGTTTGCTTTTTTTTTGTCTTACAGCTCAGAAACCTTTCAAACAACTACTGAGTTCGCGTGCATGAGCACTGAGACGGTTGAAAGTGCAATCTCAAACGCAGCCCATCCACGCGCCCGGCCCAAGCCCCTTTCCACTTGCCCTTGAAACCACAAATCTCTGTAATGAGGGTGAAGGATCTCCCATTACCCCCACATCGTTGCCACTTCGTTGCCACTTCGTTGCCCCATCCAACCCGGCCGAGGTGCCCGCGAAGCTTAACGTGAGCTGAGTCTCACCCAGCTGAGATGGTGCACAAAGTGCAGCGTCCTTCAGGAGCATTGGCTTCATCAGGTCCATTGGGTTCATTAAGGTTCCCATATAGCCCACTAGCAGGGGTGACTGGAGCTCATGAGACATCCTAGAATGCAAGAAGATCCCAGAAGCTTCACATGAAGCTTCGTGTGTTTTATGATGTTCAGTCTCCTGCTAGCAATATTACAGTCTGGTTAGAGATGTGGCGTCGTGAGGTGTGCGGAGAGGATCATCAAGTGTTAAGCCTAAGGCTGCCGAGTGGATGAAGTTCCATTTCAGCCGAAATTAGGCAATTAGGCGTACTAGCCTCGCGCTCTGCTGGGATCCCCCTCTGCGCCTCCCACTGAAGGCTCAACGCTAAATGCCTTCTTTCCACCTCCGTGCGACAAATGCCCTGCGCGCGCAGCAGTGAAATGCGAGGAGTGTAAAAGAAAATTAAAGTGCCCGGGCTCATGAGTGGTTGGAAAACCGGATCGGATGACCGGACGCAAAAAGACACAGGGATATCAGATGTGCCATGATATGCCTCTGCCCCAAAACCTGCATTCCTACATGGGTTCAGCCACGCCCTGCCATATAACGAACAATTAATAATTAGTAGTTAATTGTTAAGCATGAAATCAATAGCCAATAATCAATAATCAATAACCAATAATCAATAATCAATAATCAATAATTAAGAATTAATGAATAATGAATAATTAATAATTAATAATTAATAATTAATAATTAATAATTAATAATTAATAATTAATAATTAAAAATTAATAATTAGTAATTAATAATTAGTAATTAGTAATTAATAATTAATAATTAGTAATTAGTAATTTATAATTATACTTAATAATTAATGATTAATTAATAATAATATTGAATTAATAATTGAGAATTAAGAACTAATAATTAATAATAAGAATGATAATTAAGAACTAATAATGAGAATGAATAATTAAGAGTTAATAATTAATAATTAAGAATTAATAATTAATAATTAGTAATTAAAAATTAATAATAAATGATTAAGAATTGGAATACTAGTTCAAAATAAGAATTAAGAATTAATAATTAATAATGAACTAATAAGAAGTACTAGTTCAAAATTAAGAATTAAGAATTAATAATTAATACTTAATAATAATAATTAATGATTAATAATTAATACTTAATAATTAATAATAATAACTAATAATTGATAATTAAGAATTAATAATTAATAATCAATGTTTAAGAATCAAGAATTAAGAATTAATAATTAAGAATAGAAAATTAATAATTAATAATTAATCAATAATAATTAACAATTAAGTATTAACACGTATCAGCAAAGCAAGGTCCGCAGAGCCATGGCAAAGCGCTGCACGCTGCTGATGGACCTCTAGCAAAAAACTCCTTTTGCCTTCGATCATCAGGGGCAGAGCCCGAGAGCTCAGACTCTGCGCACCGCGGCAATTAAAGGGCGGGAGAGCAAAGCGAGAGAGTTTCAAAAGGCCGAGCAAACCCTAAACCCTAAACCTTAAACCCTAAACCCTAAACCCGCAGGATAGCGATGTCCATGGCCCAGCCTCCTGGCCAGTCGCCCTGGAAGTGGTTCGTATCTTGCAGTGAAGTATGGGGCGCTGGTGCCTGGGCATTTGGAGTCTTAGTGTACCTTCCAGACATCACGAAAGCGACAGGTCAGCTGAAGATCCACTGTAGCTTGAGTAGCATGATGATGGATCATAGTCATAGCAGCTATCTGTGCAACTGCTTCGGGAACGGCTTGATCCTTGTTTTCAACACAGCATGCCCTTTGGTTGCAGCTGCAGCGATCCAGCTGAGACTCAGGCAACGAAGGGACACTGGTGGCTTCGTCCATCTTCATAGCCGAAACCCGTGCAGAACATAGCTGGTTTTTCAAAAGGTACCCTCGTTGGCTGGTTTCACGCGACGTCCGATCTTGATGTACTGAGGAGGGGACTGGGTTCACTAGCGACACTGACTGGGGCAAGCGCCTGAATGAGCTTGGCATCGAGCCAAAGGTGGTGCCGGCGAAGGACCCCGGACAGACTGTTTTGCTATTCTAACTCACCCTAAGCCCTAAACCCTAAACCCTAAACCCTAAACCTTAAACCCTAAACCCTAAACCCCAAACCCTAAACCCTAAACCTTAAACCCTAAACCCTAAACCCCAATCCCAATCCTAAGCGGCCCCGTAAACCCTAGAATCCCGGGGTCGCCAATAGCGCCTTCCAGGAGGCCAGCATCGAGCTTTGTGCCGAAGCCTTGCGCCTGGTCACAGAGGAGGATGTCAACATCGTGTGCCTGGCAGCTCCTTGCCGCATGCGCGATACGTGCTGGGGTTTAGGGTTTAGGGTTTAGGTTTAGGGTTTAGGGTTTAGGGTTTAGGGTTTAGGGTTTAGGGTTTAAGGGGGTGGCATCTTTCACACGGGGGTCAGAGAGATGCAGGAAGTGTCGGGTGCTCTGCGGTCCCGAGGTGAAGGAAGATGACTTCGCCTACCTTTCACAGAAGCTGCGCACTGCAGGTGAAGCAACTGGCAAGAAGCTCCTTGGAAGACCTGAAATCCCGAATCACTGGCGAAACGCGCCCGACTGCCACAGTCTCAGGGTGTTTTGAGATACTTCCCCCGTCAGCCACGAGCTCAGGTTTTCCATCATGGAAATTGGCAGCCCGAGTGCGTGAGAGCGAAAAGTGGTGCTCCCTGCTGTGCAGAGGTTGCGGCAGAGCAGGAGAAACACACCTGGTATGGGTGGTCTCTCGCCCGTGACCACTGTCTGTAGCAGGTCACGGAGACGGGCTGGAATGCTATTCAGACGTTTTTCGATGAGGAGCCAGAGACCCGGGTCAGGTCGTTATGTATGTGGGAGCTTGTTTTAAGCATGGGGCCCCTTGTTTTAATTTTGCGTCGGATTCCATTGCAGAGACCGGCCCCAGGGCATCAGTCGTTCGTTGTCGTTCAAGGCTGCAGCCTTCCTGGCGTCCAGCCGTCACCGACGAGAGGCAGTCAACACCCTGATTCAGGGTTTAGGGTTTAGGGTCTTTATTGGCCTGCTTCCACTGGTTCCCCTGATTCTTTCGGTTCCCCCTGGTTCCCTGGATCCCCGCCTGGTTCCCCGCCTGGTTCCCCGCCTGGTTCCCCGCCTGGTTCCCCGCCTGGTTCCCCGCCTGGTTCCCCGCCTGGTTCCCCTGGTTCCCCTGAACCCTCATTGCCCCTATGAATAAAACAAAAGTAATGGGCGTCTGCCTTGTCCCTCTCAACCCGGAACCCTACATGCCTTGACCCCCGAAACACCCAACCTACAAACCGAAACCTTAACAAGCCCGAATGAACCCAAAAGCCCCCACACCCAAGACGGGCAGGCCGTTTCCATGCAGCGCGCTGTGGTTCAGTGAGAAGGAGCTCCGAGCCCGACACCCAGTCCAAAACCTCTCATGACTATGCGCCGTTGGTTGATTGGTATTCCGATTGCTATTCAGCTACTCCTTATGTTCTCCAGTGTATTCCTGTGCTGTTTCTCTTCGTGGTCGCAGTCGTCTTCGCAGAAGTAGTGGTATCAGCAGCAACATCAGCAGCAGCAGGGGCTGTGGAAGTAGCCGTAGGAGAAGCAGTTGTCGCAGTAATGCTGCGCAAGGATGTGGAACAAGACACGCTGTCACAAGCGTCCATGCCTTTGGCGAGATAGTGTTTTTATTCCTTCGTGAACATACTGCGCAAGGATGTTTGACGTGTCTGGAACTAGACACGTTTGCACGAGCGTGCATACCTTTGGCGAATACCCCGAAAAAATATGTGCAACATGCTGTAGGTAGTAAGTAATTCGGCAGTAAGCCGTAGAAAGTAGTAGTACGTCGTAGGAAGTAGTTGCGGTTTTCGTACTTAGTCCAACAGAGAAAATTATGACCGTTGTGTTTGCTCTTGTTCATTTTGTGGTTGTTTTTTGGGTTACGTGTGTGATCCTGACAGTCCATCCCCCTGTGTAAACAAAGTCGCTCCATTCAGGTTGAACCAAAATTCTAAAATTCAGATACCCATCTGAGAATGCTCGTCACATACTCCAATGCTAATTCTGCGTGTGGACTTGCTGAGATTGGGGTCACACCCGAAAGTGGATGGCGTGACGTCCTCGTGATGCCTGGCATGCTTGATGTCTGTCACGGGATACTGGGGGTGGGGGGGCGGAGTCGGACTCCAAATTGGCCCCCATGGTTGTGGGCTGTCGCGAGATACATATTTCTTCACTTGGTGCGTTCGGCTTTGCGTGCCAGGTGCCCCGTCATGTCGCCAAAGTCAGTCGGGTGCCGCGGCAGCGTCTCCGTGCTCGACGTCGGCGTGCAGAGGCTGCGTCCTGACGATCCAGGTCCCCTCAAGCCTGCGCAGGGCACAGGCGACGCTTATATAGGGCGAAGCTAATGCCCATGGCCCCATGGCCCATGGCGGCAAACCTTCTCTAGCGTTTTTGTCCCAGCCTTCGACTGCGGAGCTCCCGAATGGATGACAGAACAATGGGCTTAATGGGCCTCTGGAGGCACAACTTTATAAGCACCGGGCTGCTACAGCGGTTGCAGCTTTGCAGGCAGTCTTGGCGCTGAAGTCGCTTGGTGGCTTAGCTGAGGTGTGGTCAAGCCTAGTGACCTAGTCAAACCAATGAGATTTTCTTGGGTTCATGTGGGTTCGATGCGACGGCACCACGTACCCGTGTAGTACTTGCCAAGTCGCTGCCAAGCTGTCTGGTTCAGGATGTAGTTCTACAGATAGTGTGGCTTGCTCTGCTCCACATGTCAATCCACATGTCAGATACGTCATTCAAGCAGGAACATCTACTGAATCTAATGAATCTCATGTTCGAGCTGAGACCTGCCACTGTTTTCCAGTGGCATTTGCTGGCCAGATCTGGCTGCAGCTGATCTCAGGTGCAAGGAGTTGGCTCGGCAGCCTTGGTGAGGCCGAGTCGGACTTGGGGGTTTCCGATGTTAGGGAGTACCTTATTGGGGTCCTTATTCTAGACGAATCCTACTCTTTAGGGGTCTATATTACCACTCAACTGGAGAGCACCCATTGTCGCCTGCTTTAGTCAGGTCAGCCTGCGCTTGGTGCGAATGTCGAGAGGGGCCGTTGACGAAGCCCAGAGCCCAATGAGCTCACTGTTGGGGCCCGACAGGCTCAGACCCGCGGCCCTTCAAGGCCTCCGCCCTGAACCAAGGTGAGAGAGGCGGCGAAGTTGTTGGAGATGCCGCCAATTCCAGTGGAGCAGCCCTCTGTGGTGGCAGGGCACTCACGTGAGTGGTATACAAGAGATATTGACATGTCAGGATGGCGTCATGTCAACTGCTGGAATGTTGGAAGCTGGCGTTGCTTTTGAGGTTGCCCGAACCCAGTACTTCTCCTTGGGCAAGCAGGAGCGATTCTTTGGAAGCTGTGTTTTGTGTTTCCTTAAGCATGTCATTCAAAGATAGTTACATTGCATACGAGATGTGCGCTGCGCTGCTGTGAGGAGATATACGTCCTCTACTCTAGTGATGCCTGTGCTGTCACGCTGGGCGCCCGGACAGTCTCAGCTTTCAGCTTGGGGAGACTGAAGACTTTTGCGACCTCGGCTTTCGCATCTTGTGTTTGTCATACTGTCTTGATCCTGCATCCGGATCCAGGCCCCCACCTTAGCATACCTTCAAATTACCCACTGCCAAACTGCAGAGGCCATGAGAGAGCCTTCCCTCGATTGAAGGGAAGCGGTATTGAGATCCGGCCTCTCCCTGTGCAGCCTCTGTCTCTTCCCAGCATCTGCCAAATTTTAAACCCGGAATCCCAATGAAGCCGAAACCCACCCCATGTGGTACTATTTAGTACTAATTATGTGGGATCTTCAGGCTGCGGCTTTTCGAGCATTGGAGGAGCCCTGCAAAGGAGGCCAGTTGACGGCTTCTTCCCAAAAGCTGTTTCCGCAGTTTACTCAAATCTAAAGCGAGCAGCAGTGGGCCCTTGAAGCAGGCCGGCATCGCTGTCTTGGTGTTTGGTGGGGCGGCCGACCTGAACCGCGAGCTGACGAAGCACGAGGAATCGGAAGGATGATTTTGAAACTTTTCGCTTCAATATGAAGGTTTTTCTCCAAGAGCATCTCTCCTCTGGCCAGGATGACTTGCTCAACCAGCTGCCCATGTCTCAGCTGTCAGAGAGAGGTCGGCAACGCGCGTGCTGAGACACATGATCTCCTGCCAGATGTGCGATGGACTCAGCCCATCATATTACAAACTAACACTTAACGCTGTGCTGGACTAGTGGTTCCTTACTGACTGGACATGGATGGTGTGCACGACGAACGATCGGATCCCTGCCGTGTGGCTCCTGGACAGTCCTTCCCCTTTTGGATCCGGAAAGGTAAGCCGTTCCATCTCAGAGAAAGGATGGGACAACGCCAGCGACATTGAGCGCCAAAAAGAATAGGGGAGCCACGACCCCTACATGGCAAGGGCGCCGAAGATGAGCCCATCAGGCAAGCATTCGCAACGCCCTCAACCCTAAACCTGCCTGAGCCTTTCCTATGTGGGTAGTTCTCTAAATTGGAGTCTCTTGTGGGGTCCTGTATGGGTGCCGTACTATACATAGGACCCCAACTGGGGCCCTATTTCGCAAACTTCCTACATGGCACCCAGGCATGGGCACGGATTCGGCACCGTGGTCTTTGTCGGACTTTGTGGACAGGGCGACCCGTGCCAACCCTCAGACTCGCCAGTTCTTGCCCATTTTTCAGGTTCTCATAGTGGGGTGTTTAGGGTTTTGGGTTGTAGGCATGCTGGGCGCCACCTGGAATTCAGGTTCTGGCGAGGTGGTCTTTGGCAGTTTGCCCCACTTCTGCTAGGCCAGGCGAGGGCAGCAACTCCAGCCCTCCCCCCCCCCCCCCCCCCCCCCC